AAAAAAGTTTCAATGTGTTTAAGTTATTTATTCTCAAACTTTTTGCAGTTCATGTCAAATGAAGTTTAAACACACCCTGTTAAAATATTACTCTTTACCATGGAAAATGAGACCAGGAAAAGTACGTTTCCAAGCTTTTTATGCCTTTTAATTTAACATGTCTTCTTTATTATTCAGCTGAACAACAGGCAAAACTGTTAAAACATAGAAAAGAAAAATAAATAAATAAAAAACCTTCCTATAAGCTGGCTCCACAAGCGTACACCACCCTAAACAAATACTTTGTTGATTCATTCCGGGTTTGAGAGTCGTCTTCGGTACAGTCAGGCCATCTGTTATTGAGAATCTGATTAAGAATCTGAAATAGATATGAGCTACTCTAAAGTTTTCCCAGAATTTCCTCATTTGCATGCTTTATCATGTAAACACGAGTCCGGTTTATTTATACCACTTTTTACAATTTAAAATACATGCATATATGCAATATAAACAACACAAGTGCTGTAAAGAAACAAATTGCAGTGCGGGAGGAGTTAGGAACGCCTTTGTAAGCAGATACATTCCAAGCTGTCTCTTAAAAATCTCAGAGGTGGTTGGAGATAATTGGAGGCTTGTTGTGAAAACGCATTCCATTACATCTGGTATGAAGGACAACAAGTAAATGCTGATCAGATCAGCTAACCTAAAGGACGTACTGCAAGTGAAGCGAGTCAGACAGAAATATAAGTTACTTTCTCTACACCAAGAAGACCACAAACTTTAACATGGATCTTGGAGAGAGTGGAGTTATGTGATAGAAACTGATCAGAAGCTGGAGATCGTAAAAAAAGTAAAAATAGAAAGTCTTCATCGTACAAAAAGGATGAAATGGGTAACCTGCGTAAAGGTAACAGTCAGGAGAAGAAAAAAAATCTCAGTATTAGATACGCAGTGAATGCAGTAACCAATAATGAAAGCAGTGATATTACTAAAAGTGACATTTTGATCCAGTCACAAAAACCAACTCCCAACTCAGTAAAAAAAATAGTACGATGCTCCGCTATTGCTATTCTTCAGATAAACTGGAACTTTATCTTGAATCTTCTGAATAAATGTCAGTTTGAAGAAAACTTTACAAATGACCCAACCAGAACGCTCTGCTATTTATGGGCTAACCTGAAAATGGGTGTGGATTTCCACACAATCTGACAGATATCGACAACAAGCATCGAGCAGACTGAATACTGGAAATGAATTTGGTGATTCATAAAACATGAGTTTAAAGGTGTGCAGATATATGTAACCAAGCTCTTATTGTTTATTGTTCTTCTTATTATTATTACTACTATTATTATTTGTGTTTTCCTCTAACTGCTTGTTCATTTCTAAGTTGAATTGTACGGGGGATATTAACTAAAGGTAGAAAAAGTCTCAAAATGATTTATCCTGTGTTGTATGCGGATTTGTTTTACACTCACTAAATTATTCATACCCCTGTCAGATTTAATTTCAAAAACGTATTCCTCCTGCCTGGCAGTAATAGTAACATTTTTGGAGTGGTCCAGCTGGAACCCATGGAGACGCCTTAAGTAGAGAAATAGTAAATATCAAAATGAAAATGTGGAAAAAATACACCAACTTGACTGGCTTGATCTCTAAATTATTAGGCTTAAATCATGCAATCGTGACTAGACAGACGGTCGATGTGAAGCTCGCGCGGCGTGGTATGTTCAAGGGAGGGTTGGTTTACTGCGAAAGAAACTCCAGAAGAAGACACGGATTGATGTCCCCAGTGTTAAAATGACTGCCTTACAAACATATGAATGTTGGCGTGGGGGTTGTTTAGTCTGTTTGAGAGTCAACCCCCAACTCAGACACACAAACCGTTGAGTCACTAAACGGTTTGTTGTCTAAGTGGTCAGCGGCTCAGCAGTACAACAGGGGGCTGTACTCACTCTGGTGTTTTTCAGTCAGACTTTCAGTACAAGTCAGAGTCCTATCATCTGTAAAAAAAAAAAAAAATAAATAAAATACTCGGATGACTCTGCAGTTGTCAGGTTGATATGATATAGACGAGAAGCTGAGCATAGAGAGCATGGTGGACCCCTTTCTAACGAACTCATCTTCAATGTTGAAATAAAAGACTTGTTTGATTTTACAAAGCATACGTTTACATCAAAGTGAGTTTTTAATCGAGGAAAATTTCAGCTTCACAATCTAACATCTGGACTTCTTCTTATGTGGTGCGGCACAGTCCAAAACCATAGGCATTGAAAAATACTCTATGACGAGACTTAGTTAACGAGAGCTCCATCAACATGGACTTGACTACACAAAATAGTGGGAGACAAATTGTGGAAATGAAGAGCATTTCTTTAATAGTCATTTCTAGAGGACTGTTCCAAAATGGACTCACTGAAGCTCAGAAAGAGCACACAGTCTGATTAGTTGCATGTGCAGTCGTACATGAACAGTTGCCACAGACTTATTGATTACTTTGCTCTTTGGGTAAGCACTAAAGTTTATTCCAGCACAACCTGAGGATGATGAACATTGTTTTCTAGTACAATAGCCAGTTCTTTTGAATCCTAGCATTTTTAAAGTCTTTTAAAATTGCTATTCATAAAGAGCAACAACATGTACTTTGTAGCCTAGTCTATTTTGAGTCAGGCACTGACGAGGGATACATGGTGATGGTCTAGTAATGACTTCATTTGCTGTTTGAATCACAGCTAATGAAGCACATTTCTTTCTCTGTTCTGTGTTGTATTTAACCGGGAGAAAAAAATGAGATCAATCTAAATCGGCAGGTCAAGCTTTGAAGAAAATCAGTATTCAGAAAAACCTGAGCAGTGTGAAAATGAAATATTTTGACAATACTAATCATTTATCTTTGTTTCTCTCTTTCCTTCTAGGTATAATTCTTCTATGCCTTTTACTGAAAGCACCACAATTGAATATGACTATCCAGGAGAAGACGAAGACTTTTCAGGGTGCATTTATGTGCGATATGGGGCTTACTTTCTTCCACCCCTCTATGTCATTTTCTTCCTCTTAGGTCTCCTTGGAAACTCTTTAGTAATTTGGGTCATCGCTTGCGGGGTTAGACTCCGTAGCATGACTGATGTGTGCCTGGTCAACTTGGCCATAGCTGACCTTCTCATGGTGTGCTCTCTTCCCTTCCTCGCCCACCAAGCCAGAGACCAGTGGCAGTTTGGTGATGCTATGTGCAAGATGGTCCTAGGCATTTATCACATTGCCTTTTACTGTGGGATCTTTTTCATCTGTCTGATGAGCATCGATCGTTACCTGGCCATAGTGCACGCAGTTTACGCCCTCAAAGCACGCACACGCACCTTTGGCATTGGGGCAGCTGCTATTACATGGATGGCTGGCTTTTTGGCCTCTTTTCCTGACCTGATCTTCCTCAAAACTCAAAGAAATGGCAACGGTTCTCAGCACTGCTACCCTGAGTTTCCCAAAGATGATATGGCCGACATCCCTAATTCCTGGAGAGTGTTTAGTCACTTGAAAATGAACTGTCTGGGCCTGTTTATCCCAATTTTCATCCTAAGCTTCTGCTACTCTCAGATCATTTGCAGGTTGCTATCAACCCAGTCTTCCAAGAAGCAGGCCATCCGTTTGGTAGTTGTAGTGGTGGCCGTTTTCTTCTGCTGTTGGGTTCCTTACAACGTGGCGTCCTTCTTTAAAGCACTGGAACTTCTGCACGTCTACACCGGATGTGAAAGCAGCAGGGCCATCACAGTGGCTTTACAGATCACCGAAGTCATCGCATACTCCCACAGCTGTCTCAATCCCATTCTGTATGTCTTCGTCGGGGAGAAGTTCAGGAGGCAACTCATAAGGCTGATAAACAGAGCTCCATGCAGTCTCTGCCAGGTGGTCAAGCTGTACATTCCTCAAGACAGAGGCGCCTCGGTGTACTCCCAAACTACCAGCGTGGACGAAAGGAACACTGGGGCTGGCATTAATCTGGGTTCAGTTAAATTCATTTAAATTCTGTTGCTTATGCCAATACCTTTTGTGAACATCTTTTATACACAGACTGTTCATGTCAAGTCAGATAAGGTCATGCTAGTTTCAGGTTAACGGTGAGGTACCTTTGACTTGTTTTCTTGTTATGACGAACGACGGTGTATATGTAGAGACTAGACTGAATGTAATACTTTCCCATGCACAGTGTCTTTCAGTGAACCTTGTGTTTCTTAATGTACAGCATTTTAAAATATCTTCCATGAAAATGTTTCTGTCAAAGTCTTCCATTTTATAATCTTTGTAAAGCTGTAAAAAAAATGTTTTATGCTCAGATTTTTAATACTTATGTTCCATTCCATTTCAACATTTTAAATAAAAAATTCTGCTGTTCATTTGGTTTGGAAGAATTGGGCTCCTAAATCCTGCTTTTTTAGGGATTAAACATTTTCTTTGTTGTTCACTTGCAGTTAATTTATTCTGGGGAATTACAGAATTAACAATTTATTTTCTTGAATTTGGATTGCCAACAGCTAGCTAAAAACAATAACCCTTGCAAATCTTAATATATGCAGCACAAAGGTGTCAAAGTTATAAAAGTCACTAAACTATCAGAGCCAAAAAGAGCAAACTTAGGTTGGTCAAAGTTAACTCGCTTAAGTTAAGAAACTTCTACATTGCACTAGTAGTTTAGATTTAATGTAATATCATAGACATTATGTAATAAACAAAAATTATTCAAAAACATTCAAACATGTTAATACAATATAGGAAATTAATCAACTTTACAAGCAAAATGTTTTAAAATATAATCACATAGGTAAGTCTGTTTTAATATACATACTTTGTAAAACACATAGGCCTTCAATCATTTACATTTAGTTGTAAAATGTTTCTTCACATGAAATTCTTACTAAATTCATTTGAGGCTGCGGTTATCATGCTTACTTGTCCTACCACAGTTTTTCTTTCCACTTGACTTTCTACAAATAGGCGTTGATGCATCAATCTTTGAACAGGCAGCTTCTTTTGCATCGTTAGTGGGATGCTATACCTGTGGTGATTTTCAGTGGCTCACTGTTTGCCCAGTAAACATCTTCCCCATATGCATGTAGACTGTAACACAACATTTCTGATTCAAAACAATCTTTTTTTTTTTTTTTTTTTTTTTTTTTTTGGGATTAAATTTTTTTTTTTTTTAGGGGGGGTGTTTTTGGTTTTTTTTGTAAGTTTTTTTTTGAGGG